GGGGTGAGTGGATGTGCGTGCAAATTCTGTTGATTTACCGGCTCCTGAGAAGAAGGAGGCGTGACATATTTGAAGCTCTTCAGCAGATGATCGGTCGCACACAAACGCTGCCTTTGTTTTTGTCATTTGTCTCATCATAATAAGATTCATGGCAATATGCTATTCTAAGGTGAGCTGACCTCCTGCCAAGGCCACTTCGATGTGACTAAGCCGCCGCATGACCTTTGAACCCTTGCTATCCAAGCCCACACGTTGGGTGAGCTCGCAAGAAACTCACCTCCATACAGGCTAGCATCTTAGCTTCACACTAACTGCTATCTTCATCGTTTCTAGCTAAGTATTAGCAGTCTGTGCTTCTAAAGTTGTATGTGACTATAAAAGAGGGTTAGTTTGATTGACTTAATAAACTCACCTAGCTTCAGGCTAAATGTTAGCATATTAGCTTCAGACTATCTGCTAGCATCTTAGCTTCAGGCTAACTGTTAGTGTCATACACTTGTCTCTTGCCAAAGTTTACAAAGAGGTTACTTTTTAGCATTGACAACCAAATGGGAAAAAAAATCACTAGTAAGGCAAAGTTGTTTTATTTGTGTGCATTAGTGTCTTGAGTGTCCTGAATTGTCCATCTACTAGTCCGCAGGGTGAAATAATTGAGCAGACTAGTAGAACGATTAGTTTGCACTAGTCCGACTGCTGCACTTGTGACTTCTTTTTTCCTATGTCGTCTTCTACTACACGGTGACATTTCTGAGCACAAGAAGAACAACGCCATGTTATATGGAATTCCACTAGTTAACATCTAGCACTTTACTTGCAGTACCAGTAGTGTGCACAGTTTTGCCTAACTAGTAACGTGTAGTTGTCCTGCTCGTATGCCAAAGTTGTTCTGCTAGTGTGCAGAAAAGTCATACACTGCAACGAGTTTGGTGAGTATGGCTGAGCAGCTTTGACGCGCACCAACGAGAGCCTTCGCCTTGAGCACCTGCAAGCCTCAAGCACTTGCAAGCCGGTCGCAGGCACTCGCATGCGAATGTCATGTGCTTCCTTGTTGCGCATTTTCACACCTTTCATTATGTCATGACTGTAACATCATCATCATTAGACAGTCTGCAGAAAAATGCAAATGTATGCATGTTTTCTCCCCCAATCGATGATATGAGTCAATGCAGCCGAAAGGTGGCAACACAAACCAGTGTACATGTCAATCAAAACACATACAGTATTCTAATGGAAACACGTCGTCGGAGCATTTCTTCCCTATCCTACTCCTGCAGTCAATTCTCCATGTTCGAGGATGCTCTTTGTCCTCACTAGTAAGACCATTCAGCGCGAGTGTACTCGTAAATCGATAACCGAGTGGACTAGTAAGGTACAATACATCTTTCATAACTGCTGTGGAATAAATGCTCAGATGGTCTTTCTGTAAACTCCTGTCAAGCTAGCTCTCATTGACTGAGGCGATTGCAGTGAAAGTGTGACAGGCGTAGATCATAAATCATACTCACCCTCGGGAATTGGCAGGGGTGTTGTGGCCAAGAGTGAACGGAAAAATGCGGAAAGGACAAGTTCAGAAGTGTACCAGCTACAACACTGTTCTGTGTGTCACATCAAATTAGTTCACAGTGCGTTTGGGACTCAAAACAGAAGTGCAAATGTTTGGGACGAAAGTTGCTTGACTGTGAACGTGTGGGTGATTGGTTAAAGAAAATGTGCCGTTGTTAAGATAATAGCTCAGGGTAACATGACTGTGAGGGCTTTGGGGAGATTAAATCAACATGGCAACACATAGGCTGACATTTATTCATTTATTTATTTTAAATCCAACATCCACAGCAACCAAGAGAAACCTTGGGAACAAATTAGCACAATTTCATGAAGCAAATGTTCGAATGTGTTGCAAATGTAGGTCAGTGCTTCTGCTACTGTTTGGGCCTTCTTTATGCCCACAACTGATATTGTGGCCACAATTTCAAACCCTTTCCCTATTTCATGTCTGTAGCTCCGTAGTTCACCACAAATATATACCATATATACATTTGTGTAGATGAATGCGCTACAGCCAAGGATTTTGACATTTCTGTTTTTGTCGGGAAGTAACGCTGTTTTCCCACGTCCCCCGAAGGAGTCACCTCGCTGGCCCCGCCCTCCTCCGCTTGACGTCAACAGTTTCCGCACATGGGCGCCGTGTGCAGGTTCTGACCGGGAGGGCGGGGTAGGACGGGAGAGCAGCGCAGCCTCGCTCATCTTGGTTTAGCTTAGCTTATTTTAGCTTGATTCCTCCCTCCCTTCTTGCCTGCCTCGTCGCTCCTTCTCTCCCCCCCTCCGTCCGTCCGTCCGTCAGTCAAAGCAGAGCTGCCTCCGCCCTCCGCCTCCAGTTCGTCGCCCGCCCGCCTGCCAGCCTACCAACTAGCTCACTTGTCGGCTGTCAAGAGCTCCTTTCCAACGTCCGCGAGTCCCCCCGGGCCACCCCAGCAGCGGGATTTCGACGCCCTGTGGAGAAAATGGCCAGCAGACCTCACCCTGTCAACGCAGCTTTCCTGCCGCCGACGCACGGCGTGCTCAAGTCGCTGCTGGAGAACCCGCTGAAGCTGCCCTTCCACCACCACGACGAAGGTACCCGAGCGAACCTTTCACATGTTGCTTTTCCAGCGTCCATTGGGGTCAAACCGAATGCGATTCATTCGGTGTAGAACCCGAAACGGGCAAAATAAGACTGGCTGCTCACTCGGCTCGTGGCGCCACCTGAAGACAAGCCGATTTGTGCCGACCAGTTTGACGAAAAGGAGATTGAACGTCCGTCGTTTTTCGTCGCAGGTGCCTTGCTACCTTTTCGGGGAACTTGCGTTTCGACCTGTCCAACCTCCATCTTCATGGCGATTACGTGGATTCCTCTTGTCACCCGTAGGGGGCGCCTCACACGTAATCCTCGGGGGACAAAAACGGATTAAACTTTAAAAATTTTTATTCTTAAACACAAAAACGTTCTTACAATGACGCCTTCGTGTTTAATTTTTTGCTTACAAATGCCCGAATGAGGCCGTTGATTGTAGGTCAACGCGGTTTTTAATTTTCCATTGGATCCGTTTGAGCTCTGATTATTATCTTGTCTCATTTAGTCAAGTGATTGTGTGAGTGCGAGTGTCGTAAACAACGGCAGAAAATAGTAATTATAGTAATTAGACAAGGAGCTGCTGCTGACTTTTTAAATGTCTACCACACTGTTCAAATCTCTGAATGGTTCCCCACAAAAATCAGATTGGACAGAATTTTTTGGGGAAAAATCAAGACAATGACATGATTCAAAACAGGTTTTATGGTCCCAGCATTTTTCAGCATTGAGTTATTTAGATTTCATTCAAGTGGAAAACATGTCGTTTCTGTCCAAATATGTGCAGCATTGAAGCGTAATAATTTCTTGTGCGCAAATGTTGCCTTGTTTCTGAATTGTTCCTTTTGTGGAAAAATATCCCTAGCGGGACTCTGAAAAGCAGCTAAATATGGCCAACTTATCAACACTGACTGTTTTTTTAAACTATCTCCTCTGTGTTCGCTGCACATCAGCAGGGACGCACTTTTAAATGCCAAAGCCACTAAAAAGTGCTCAGAAATAAATCAAATCAAGGAATTAATTGATAAAATGGACTATGTTGTTCTCATGCGATGTAGACTGCTCACGGATGTTGAAGATGATTTGTGTGATGATGTCCACTTATATTGTGAGTGTGAAACACAATGCAGCGATCATGTCAGTTTGCACTGTGATCACTTTGAAGGCCCACCCACATGATGTGTGGACTTAAATTTTCCTTGAAGCTTCTTCTGCTGAGTGACGCTTTCCTCTTTTGTCGGTTTAAGACAAGGTTGAGGTGTGCTGCCAGTTGTCATTGTCGTGGTTATCGGATTCCAGTCAAGACTCAACATGTCGTGGTTCAGCTTTCGCACCCCTACGTTCTATTGTGGATTTTCAAGTGATTATTATTATTGTGTTGTTTTTTTTGAGGGGGGGGAGGAGTTGTAACTGTGTATAGGGAAATCCCAGTTTAGAGTGACGCACCATCAATGTAGTACCACAACATGCCGGGCAGTTCTAAACTCTACTGGAAGAGATGCTGTATAGTAAGGAGGAGAAGCAGAATAAGGCAGTTTTATTTAGTTTTTCTGGTCACATTTCATCGGGCAGCCTGGAACATATCCCCACTTTAAATAAGAGTTCGCCGGTTCACTCTTAAGACACTGTAAATTCTTTGTTTTGTTTTGGTCTGAAAGCACCAATGAATTCCGTTTCTTGAACGAGCCACGCAGATACTTTTTGGAACTTCCGTGATAATCCTAATAATAAACCTGTCGAACCTGTCGGCGCCATTCCCTTCTGTCCCGCTTGTAATGCACCTCATGAAATTGGCAGCAGACTCTGGAAAATTACAGCTTTCTGCCGCATGCTCACACGCCTCCGTAAGATAATGAACTGAGAATGAAGTACACAATTAGTGCTTCTATTTGCAAAACCTAGAAAAAAAAATCTTCAATGTAATCGGCCTCAATGAAGGCCTTCATTATGCCTCAAAAATTACCCATAATCCTGAAATCCCCTGTTCAAAGGTCCTAAAAGCGACACAATAAACAACATTGTTCTGTTTTCCTTGGAAAACTAATCTCCAATGGCATTACCAATGTTTGCTTTCGTATCGATAGAGTAGATTGACTGATAGATACTTAATTCATCCTGTGAGGGCACCTGAAATGATCACAGCAGTGATATTCAGACCTACACACTCCTATCAACAACATGGAAAAAAGCAAGAGAGCAAAACTAATTTTAAGCATTTGTAAGGAAGCCAAGCAAATTTAAATCAATTCGAAAGAAAAATAAATAAACGGAAAATTAAAACGCTGCTATATGTTCAGTATTGAATATCGGCAACAGTAATTGTGCAAAGTGGGACTGCACAGTCAACATTATCGCAAAATGTCTTCAAATATTGAACCCATTTCTGGTGTGAGGGGCTAATTTGTTCAAACTTCCCAGGGGGCGCTGCTGAGTGTCCCGACACCCTACACATACTTTAATTAGATCACACTTATGCTTTCACAAAGTCAAAATCGACATCATGTTGAGTTGAGTTGAGACTGTGCCTAACCTTTTCTTCTACTCAAAACCTGTGCTGATCTCAAATCCAAAGGAACGTTTCCATCCGCTGGCATCTGTTTGTGACTGGCAGTAACCGATTGGCTTCCGGTTCCGGGTGAAGCGTAGCCGATAACTCTTTGTTCGTTGTGCCGCAGGTTTCAGCAAGGACAAGGAGAAGAAGTTGGAGGATGAGAGCGGCGCGGCTAACCCGCCACAGTCGGCCTTCCTGGGGCCGACGCTTTGGGACAAGACTCTGCCCTACGATGGCGACAACTTCCAGCTGGAGTACATGGACCTGGAAGAGTTCCTGTCTGAGAACGGCATTCCCGCCAACACGGCACAAAGCGACCACCAACAGCAGCAGCAGCAAGTGCCCCCGCCCCCCCAGGCCCCGCAGCCCCCCGCGGCGGCCCCCTCGGTGGTGGACCTGAGCAGCCGCGCAACCACCCCGGCGCACAGCGGCGTGCCGTCACAGCAACAGCAGCAGACGTGCTTGCGCAGCCCCAACGCCACAGGTAACAACCACGCACGCCACCAACACCCGTGCGGACTTCCTGCTTAGCTGTGATTGGTTGCTGACTCGAGACGGGGGCCGTTTGATGGAAAGGGGATTATTGGCTTTCGGCCATTGCAAATACTCACACGGTGCATTGTCGTTGCTTCGGCAAGCTAACGAGTAAAAAAAAAAAAAAAATAGTGATTTTGTGTGTGTGTGTGTGTGTGTGTGTGTGTGTGTGCGCACGTGTTGTATTGCTGGACTCTTGCCATGTTGGTGCAAAGCAGCAGGCGACCACGTTTGATTGCTGCTGGTCACGTGTTGTTGGATCTTGTTGTTGGAGGTCGATGCATCGATGACGGCGATTATGGAGTTTGTGACGCACCTTAAAATGCGGAGTCTACTTCTCCCAACTACCACTTAAAAAAAAAAATAGCAAATATGAAAAACATAATATCGGTCCAACTTCTCGCATTTCCACATGGAATGACGTCACGTAATTGAGGACAAATCGTAGTCGTTGCTTGTCTTGTGTTGCCACGGCAGCTGAGACGTTTACGACATGAAAAGCTTGTTTCCCTCCAGAATGCTCCAAATCGCCTTTGATGATTCCAAATGACTTTTTCGTTTTGAGTGTACGCGGGCGAAAGTGACCGGGTCATTGAGCAAAACAAAAATGGCTTTGTCATTTTGTTTCATCGGAGCAAGAGCAACAACTTGCACAAAGCGTGCTATCAAAATTCAATGCCACCTTGACAACAACAAAAAATGAGATACACTCGAAATGTGTCATTGGTCATGTTGAAAGACTTGAAAGGGGAAATCAAATCCAAAACTTTCCTGACAAGAATATCGAAGGTTGTATGCGGGTCTCCCGATGCTGAACGCAGCATATGGATGAATGTTGCCTTTTATTGCCTATATCAAATCGTATTGAAGCTGCAAAATGCGTCCGTTTTCCTCCATCTCAGGGTGTGGCCATTTTGTCACTTGCTGCCAACTGGAAATGAGATCACAGTTGCTCAGGTCACAACCAATCGCAGCTCACCTGTTTTCGAAGTTTGATCATGCCACGTTCGCAAGCTGAGCCGCGCTCGGTCGCTACCTGAGCCCAGAGCAACTGTGACCTCATTTTTCGCCGACAACAAATGACAAAATGGCCGCTCCCCACTGGCGGCTCAAACCGGCTGCATTTCACTTGCGACATTTAAATTCCACAAAGGCAATATTAATCTCAACGCCGTGTTGAGGCGAGTGGGCGACACATCCAAATATTCGACCTTTTCTGAATATTTGTGAAAACTGGCGACGAGTTCATTATTTCTACCCTGAGATTTGCTGGCGACTCTCGGCCAAATTTGTCGCCAAACTGGACAGTCTGCAGGTGCGTGACAGGAAGGGCTCGGAACAGCGTGTTGTGTTTTTACGCCGGGTGTCGAGTAGCGCCAGGTGCTCGCACGCGTGTGTGTGTGTGTGTGCGGGGGCGCGCGCCGTCACGTGCACGCCGCGCGCCTCCCTAGTGCGTGCGTGTCCATGTGACACACACACATGCAGACAGCATGTGCGGCTGGCCGTGGCCCCGCCTCGTCCTCTCACGCTCTCCCTTTTTCTTTCAGCCGCTCTCACGCAACGACACCCCCCTCCCCCTCCCCACCCCCCACTTCGCGCTCGCTCTCCCCGCTCAAGTTGTCCTGGCTCACATGGACTCAAGCGTGTGTGCGGGCATGTGTCACGTGCACTCTTGTTCCTGCTTGTGGTCATTAGGCTCCACAACAACAACAACAACAACAACATGAAGTGTTTCAAATGCGCGCGCCCGTGTGTGTGTGTGTGTGTGTGTGTGTGTTTGTGCGTGTGCGCATGTTCGTGTGGAGGGAGGTTTGAAATGACTTATTTTGCAGACCGATGCCACGACAAGATTGACTCTATGCGTACTGATACGTCTTTTGATATGACTCCTTTTAACACAATGACAAGAAAATTGTGACCAGGGAGACTTTTCTTTTTGACACACCTGATGATTCGCCAGTCTGTCAATGTATCGCGGAATAGCGCCAAATACTGCAGAGGAGGACTTACTCCATGTCAGATTTTTGTTTTGGCTTTTTTGAGTATCGGCAGATGGTCATGGCGGCCTTCACGAGTAATTGATACTTCGAATTGGTTGGTACTCACCCGTCCCTCATCGTGCGTGTGCACACATTTTAATGACGTGTGTGTTTGACATTTATTATTTATTGCATTTATGTGTGTTCAACATGAATGTGTGTGTGTGTAAAGCAGATTAAATTTGTCGAGTACTTCTGGCAAGGAATTCACAGTGTTGGTGCGTCTGGCAGGTGGTAGACGATTTAGTTCGGGTCGTCATGACGACTGAGATGGCATCGGCATAAGTAAGCTGCTGCAACCCATCGTCACATGACTTTCCAGGCTGGATTGGCGTCTGTCGCGTGACCCGCGTCGTCGCCAATCTAACAAGGTGCACTTTAAAGCCATGACGGCAGGAAAAGTCGAGCATACTGACAAAATGACACCACGAATTCCGTCTTGCACCAGATTAACCTGCATCGATTTGTTTTGAAACCAAACATTGAAATGAGTTGCTTGTTGTTGTCGTTGAAGTAGGACGTCCGGGGGGGGAAAAAAGCTTGGTCACTCTCGGGCTAAACTGCGATTAGCTCAGCCCGCGCACTTTGACCCCCGCACGTCGGTCAGCGCCTCGCGTTTGGGGGTCAAAGTTCGACCACGCGTACAGGCAAGCTTATCGTTAGCCACGTCTTGCTAGCTCAGCGGCGGTGCTGATATGAAGATGACAATTCAGACGACTGCTACGTTCGCCTACTTCATGTTTGGCTGTCGCTATCTGGCCAATCGCATGCTTTGAGGCTGTTAGCCTCGTTGCTAATGGGCACGACGCCATCTGTATTTCGCACCTGTAAGAAGCTTGAAATCGTCAATACTAGCTGGTCAACACACACAACACAAAGATACACGCGCGCACACCCGCGCATGCAAGCTCCCCCTCCCCACCCCCCACTTCGCGCTCGCTCTCCCCGCTCAAGTTGTCCTGGCTCACATGGACTCAAGCGTGTGTGCGGGCATGTGTCACGTGCACTCTTGTTCCTGCTTGTGGTCATTAGGCTCCACAACAACAACAACAACAACAACATGAAGTGTTTCAAATGCGCGCGCCCGTGTGTGTGTGTGTGTGTGTGTGTGTTTGTGCGTGTGCGCATGTTCGTGTGGAGGGAGGTTTGAAATGACTTATTTTGCAGACCGATGCCACGACAAGATTGACTCTATGCGTACTGATACGTCTTTTGATATGACTCCTTTTAACACAATGACAAGAAAATTGTGACCAGGGAGACTTTTCTTTTTGACACACCTGATGATTCGCCAGTCTGTCAATGTATCGCGGAATAGCGCCAAATACTGCAGAGGAGGACTTACTCCATGTCAGATTTTTGTTTTGGCTTTTTTGAGTATCGGCAGATGGTCATGGCGGCCTTCACGAGTAATTGATACTTCGAATTGGTTGGTACTCACCCGTCCCTCATCGTGCGTGTGCACACATTTTAATGACGTGTGTGTTTGACATTTATTATTTATTGCATTTATGTGTGTTCAACATGAATGTGTGTGTGTGTAAAGCAGATTAAATTTGTCGAGTACTTCTGGCAAGGAATTCACAGTGTTGGTGCGTCTGGCAGGTGGTAGACGATTTAGTTCGGGTCGTCATGACGACTGAGATGGCATCGGCATAAGTAAGCTGCTGCAACCCATCGTCACATGACTTTCCAGGCTGGATTGGCGTCTGTCGCGTGACCCGCGTCGTCGCCAATCTAACAAGGTGCACTTTAAAGCCATGACGGCAGGAAAAGTCGAGCATACTGACAAAATGACACCACGAATTCCGTCTTGCACCAGATTAACCTGCATCGATTTGTTTTGAAACCAAACATTGAAATGAGTTGCTTGTTGTTGTCGTTGAAGTAGGACGTCCGGGGGGGGAAAAAAGCTTGGTCACTCTCGGGCTAAACTGCGATTAGCTCAGCCCGCGCACTTTGACCCCCGCACGTCGGTCAGCGCCTCGCGTTTGGGGGTCAAAGTTCGACCACGCGTACAGGCAAGCTTATCGTTAGCCACGTCTTGCTAGCTCAGCGGCGGTGCTGATATGAAGATGACAATTCAGACGACTGCTACGTTCGCCTACTTCATGTTTGGCTGTCGCTATCTGGCCAATCGCATGCTTTGAGGCTGTTAGCCTCGTTGCTAATGGGCACGACGCCATCTGTATTTCGCACCTGTAAGAAGCTTGAAATCGTCAATACTAGCTGGTCAACACACACAACACAAAGATACACGCGCGCACACCCGCGCATGCAAGCAACCATCGCCTGGCAAGGCCCAAAGAACGAAAAGCAGAAACTGCTTGTGGGGGGGGGGGGAAGCAAAGGCGAAGTGGCCCGCCCAAGGAATAATGGCGTGCTTGTGTTTTGTCCCCCTTAGCGTCGCGCGACACGCCCAGCCCCATCGACCCCGAGTCCATCCAGGTGGCGCTGAGCTACGAGCCCGACCCGGCCGACCTGGCGCTGTCCAGCGTGCCGGGCGGGGCCGTCTTCGACCCGCGCAAGCACAAGTTCTCACCCGAGGAGCTCAAGCCGCAGCCCATGATCAAGAAGGCCCGCAAGGTCTTCATCCCCGAAGACCTCAAGGTCCGCGCCACGCTCACAAAGCGCCACATGACCACACTGGTTTATTCCAAAATTGAATTCATTCATTTTGTTTCCCCTAAAAATTCGAAACACAGCTCTTCATAATGAAAACATGATTTTAAAACAATTATTGGACATAGTACACGCCCCTCCCCCCACTCCCATATTCTTTTAACGCTGTGCTGTTGGGTGTTTGGCGTCCGCCTGCAGGACGACAAGTACTGGGCGAGGCGCAGAAAGAACAACGTGGCAGCCAAGCGGTCGCGGGACGCGCGGCGGCTGAAGGAGAACCAGATCGCCATTCGGGCGGGCTTCCTGGAGAAGGAGAACGCCGCCTTGCGCCTGGAGGTGGCCGACCTGCGCAAGGAGCTCGGCCGCTGCAAGAACGTCGTGGCCAAGTACCAGGCCAGGCACGGGCCACTGTGAGTCCGCCCCCGCAACCCCACCCACCGCACACCGCCCCTTTAAGGACTATGTCGTCATCACCCTTCTCTCTCTCTCACATACACACACACTGTCACACACACACTCAAGCCCCTTTCACGCCTTCCGTGTAGCGCGCGGTCAGTAAAGGTCACACGCAACACAGTCAAGCATTCCGTATTTGAAAAGTCCTCATCTAACTGCCCTCATGGTTGCAAAAGAATAGAACAGGTTCTGTTTTAATTTGGTGTTTTATGCTAAATTTTCTGGTAAATTTCAGAGAAAATTCCAGCGCATTTCTGGAAATTGTTCAGTACGTTTCTGGAAAAATTGACTGAAAAATTCCTGAAAATGTTCTGTCATTTTTTAGCGAATTTTCTGATAAATTTCTTGAAAATGCACGGGACATGTCTGAAAATTTGCCTGTGCGTGCCTGTTAAATATTTGGTCAATTTCTATGCGAGTGTAAGGTGGGTCATTTGGGAAATATTCTAAAATTGGCAACCCGCC